CAAGTGCCCAGGATCCTCTTGTCTCATTTCTAGTACCTGCTTCATAGGCAAATAACTCCAAACCTGGATTGTTACATGGATTCTGAGGATCTGAACTCAGATCCTCATGTTTGCATGACAGGCCCTTTACTCACTGAGCTATCTCCCCAGCCCTCTTTTTGACCAAAGGATGTCACAGGAAAGTACTGAGACACACATGGAAAATATTGTGAACAGAGAAAGCTCAGAGACCTCCAGGAGCCATGGAGCAGCAGTTAACAGTCACTGCTGTGTCCCTTAGGTGTGTAGGGGTGAGAGGTGACACTGACTTATCTAGTTCCTGGCTCCCTGGCTCCCACCCCAGGGCTTCAGAGGCCTGACAGTTGTCCTTACGGTATCATCACATGGTCCCTAAGGTACAAGGGTGATGCACGGCCAGAGTGGTTCAGGAAAAGCCCTGGTCCACAAAGAGGAAGCAGGGCTGCAGATAGACCACACTGGAAAAGAGTCTGGCCCACACCCTCTCTGAGATCAATAAATCTCCCGATTGCCAAGCACTGTGGTACTGTGACTTGCAGGCCCTTTCTCTTAGGATGAGTATGAGGGTACCATCATTCCCAGGTTAATCTAATAGTCACTTCCTGTTTGTACAACCTCAGGTGACTCCCCTGCCTGTTCCTGTGACCTCATTTTTCTGGCTGCTGCTTTGGGAGACCTGAGGCTCAGGCCTCACACTTAGATCTTGGCTTCATCATCACTCCCAGCGTGGTCCCACCCACACCAGGGTTCTCACCGATTCTCTGGTCCCAAACTCAATTTGAAAAGCTTGACCGCCCACCATGTACCCCACTCAAATGTCATGGTGAAGGCTGACTGCGCATACCCTTAGCTTAATCAACTCTCAGACACCGGACCCCATTCCTAGATCAACCAGAACCCATGTAGTTCCCCAGGTAGGCCTCACCTTCCTTTTGCTAGACCCCAGAATCTCTCCAAGTCAGAAGGGGACATTCACAATAAAGGGCAGGCCTAGGCCCACTATGCTCGGTTCTCTTTACCACCTTCCCCTCATGCAGGGCACTCACCACTCCAAACAAGTGCTGCTGTCTGCATCCCACCCACCCTCCGCAGGCTTCTGTCAGGGTCTCAGCACACCACAGCCTCCCTCTGCCCAGCACCCTGCCCAGCATTCCCAGCTCCCTCCAGCCCACCTGCCCCACCGCATAGTGACTGTTCCCAGGTTTATGCTGTGGGCTCTCTACTCTGGCCCCACCCTGCCCCGACCCCATCAAAGAGTACCTAGTGATTTTTGGTCAAATGGCTAAGGGGAGAGACAAATAGGGCCAGAGAATGAGAGAACCATACAAAGAGTAAAGATGTCCCCAAACCCCCACCCTGGGCACCTAATACCCTAAGAACAGGGACAACTCTGAGCCCAGAGTCCCTACAGGACAAAGCTTCAGAGTCCACTGTAGGGAGGTCTCATAAGACATGAGACTTGATGACCACATCTGGAGACATGGTGCACAGAGGTTGTGGGGTTGAGGGAACCAATGCCAAGGGCATAAAGGTAGAGAATGTTGGCTGTGTTGAGCTGTAAGTCCCTATTCTAAGTACCCAATAATTTTTTTTCTGAAAATGAGCAAAAGCAGGTATGGGCCACAGACCTTCAAATGGCAGGAAGACCCTTCCTGAAGGAGTGCAGCCTGAAGCAGGGAGTTGTCTGCCAGGCACCCCCTTCTCTGAGAGCTGGTGGCACTGCTCTCAAAGTTGCTGGCTGGTTTTAGACACTTTGCCATCACTCTGAGAATATGCCACTGTGACTGACTCCTAATCCAGGAGGCCTTGCCCCAGTCCCAACTACTCTCCACAACTGCACCTCTCTTGAAAGGCAGCATCCATGGCAAGATCCTGAAGCCATTCTCACTCATGATGGGGAGAGAGCTGTCTCCACAGAAATTCAGCAAGAAGCCAGTGGTGTCTGTGCTACGCCCTCTGCATATGAGTTATGGTTACACAGCTTGTCATTCTTGTGGGACTTCTAGCAGTAGGGATTGAATTATCTCTGACCCTTTTCCTCTCACCAGCTTGCACTGCACAGCGTTGATATGAGGTGTGTGCCTAGTCTTATTGTAATTTTTATGCCGTGTTTCGTTGATATCCTTGGAAGGTCTGCTCTTTTCTGAAGGGAAATGGAGGACTGGATCTAGGGGAGAAGGGAAGTCGTGGTGGGGGGGTCTGCGAGGAGTGAAGGGAGGGGAACCTGTGGTTGTGATGTAATATATGAGAGAAAAAATTAAAAAGGGGGGAGGAGAAGAAGGGAGTCAGTGATGGGGGAACTGGGAGCTGTTCTGATTGGTGTAAATGGAATCCTCCATTAACATGTCCTACACCCCTCCTGGCTATGTAACCAGGCTGCTTAGCTTTCTCTAGTTAACTGGGAGACATCTAAGATGCCCCCTGATGCTACACTATGTCCAGCAAAAGGCTTCCTCAGAACAGTCTTTTATCTGTTAGAGATTTGAGATTCAGGCTGGTCTGGTAACACCGACAGGGGCAGCAATGAAAACAGAACAAAGGTGGAAGGTGATGGGTGTTAGACTCAGACCCATCACTAGAAGAGGTCTTGGAATTACCAAGCCTTGAAGTCAAAGGGTTTCAACACCCAAGGGTTAGGAACTGTAATGCTATCTTGCATTACCTGCCGCTACCAGTGTTTCAAAGTTGAGTTTCACCAATTGTTGAGTGTTGATTGCAGGCAGTAAAAAGCTAGAACAAGGTTCCTCTAACCCAAGCAGCTGGAGCTGTCAGTCTCTGGCTCCTCTAGTTCCCAGGGCTTTGGGATACAAGCTTGTGTCTATCAGTCCATCAGGTTTCTGCATTCAAAAGCCAAGGGTTCCTAATGCTAGACCTACTCACCTACGGAATCCCATGGAATAAAATAACCCCAGCTAGCTAATTTGTTGGCAGCAATTGCCAAGGACCCATGATTAAACAGGAGCCAGCTATCACTCAGTTTCTCTCTTAAATGATACCTAGACATTTCAGCCAAAGCTGACACAACAGGACGCAGAAGATGCTCAGTGTCCACACAGGTCCTGACCTGTTTGCCCAGGTTGACCAACCCACACTACATGAAGGACAAAGTTATATACAGCATCTTCATGGGACGGCAAGGTTGATAAACCCAGAAAACAGATGTGACATACAGGTTATGAGTCTAAAGTCAATGTTCAAGAGGACCTCAGCAGAGACCTTTCCAGCACCCACACCTCCTTGTTCTAGCATGAACTATGTGAATGAGGTTATTGTGTAAGTCTTTTCTGGTCAATTTATGTCTGGGTTTGTCTTCTGATACTAGGCACATCATCAGTCTTGCCTTATTATTGTACGGCCTTGTTAAATGTCATACCAAAACACAAGGGGTTTTTTGTTTGTTTGTTTTTGTTTCTCTTTTTTGGTTCAGACAGGGTTTCTCTGTGTAACATCCCCGACTACCCAGGAACTCGTCTGTAGACCAGGCTGGCCTAGAATCAGGAACCTGCCTGCCCCTGCCTGCCCAGCACTGGGACTAATGGCGTGTGCCACAGCTCACCTAGCTTCTAGACCAAGCTACTACACTCAGGCTGCATCCCTCTTGGCTTCTCATAGCATCGTGGGTGTTTCTGTTTCCTGTAGTTAAACACCTGGCACCAGGTCTTCTGTGCACATAGCACTGATTCTCTGGGAGAGGCCCAGAAGTGGTCCTTCCCATCCAATGAGAGCAGTGTCCCAGCACCCACTTCCGGCCCTTAGCAGAAGCCTCCTTCCCATTCAACTGGTTGCCATGATGTCTTTCTCAATTCCTATCTTACATTCAGTTATCATTTAAAAAAAAAAAAAGATTTATTTTCTAGGTACATTGGGAGTGGGTTTTTTGGCTTTGTTTTGTTTGGTTTTTCGAGAGACAGGGTTTCTCTGTAGCTTTTGGAGCCTGTCCTGGAACTAGCTCTTGTAGACCAGGCTGGCCTCGAACTCACAGAGATCCACCTGCCTCTGCCTGTACATTTGGGGTTTTGTCTACATGTCTGTCTGTGTGAGAATGTTGGATTCCCTGGACCTGGAGTTACAGTTGTGAGCTGCCATGTACGTGCTGGGAATTGAATCCAGGTCCTTTGGAAGAGCAGCCAGTGCTCTTAACCACTGAGTCATCTCTTCAGCCTCCAGCTGTCTTTTAATTGCTATCCTGTTGCTCATCTCTATACCAAACCATTTACAAGTGTAGTCAACACTCCCAGGCCAAACTCTCTGACCCACAGCCCCAACCAAGATGGAGATGGAAATCAATTTCACACAGCATAAAGTGTTTTACCACTGATCCGCATCCTATTATGTGGTCTTTTAACAAACTTTGATAAGAGTTGAAACTACCAAAGTTCCCCTCACAGTCAGCATATTTTGGTGTCAGGAAACCACCTCTGGTATTCCCCATGGCCACAAGCAGGGAGTGCTTGTCTTTGCATATTAGATTCCCTTGGGTGGGAACCCAAGAAACATACAGCATGTCCTCACTGGTTTCAGAACAGGGTCCCACTGTCCACCTGCTGGCCAGAGCTTTAGTCCTTGTGCCAGGTATTAGATTCTCCTGACCTTCATCAGCTTGGGGGTGTTAGAGACAATATGATTGCTCTTCCCCAAAGTCAGGGGGTCCATAAGGCCTCATCTGTCGGGCTGCGGGTGGACCCTGGAGCGCCGTGTGTCATCAATGCTGTGAGCTCACCCTAGGACCTCAGGGTCCACCAAGATGGTTGTATTTGGTTTTATTCTTACTTGGTTGTGTGGGAGCGCAGGACAAAGAACAGCGAGACCACAAATGTGCATTATTTTATTATGTGTGGAAAAGCTGGTACTAAAGTCCTTGCCAAGTGACAAGTCCTGACAACCTGACCAAGGATGGGGCCCATGGTTGAGCTTCCAACATGCTCTTTTGTTTGTTTTTCGAGGCAGGGTTTCTCAGTGTAAGTCCTAGCTGCCCGGGAACTAGCTCTTGTAGACCAAGCTAACCTCGAACTCACAGAGATCTGCCTGCCTTTGCCTCCCGAGTGCTGGGATTAAAGGTGTGTGCCACAACTGCCCGGCTGCATTTAGATTTTTTAAGGTCAAGCTCCAAGGGGCCGCTGGAAGTCCTAGAGCAGGGTAGTTTTCAGAGGCAGGGAGCTTAACTGGACTTGTTTATAGCTCACATCACAGTCACAAGGAGCCAAGTTCCCATGTGTCCTGGACCAGAGTTGGAACCCACAGGTGGAAGCAGCAATAGGAGCTGAGCAAGTGTTAGCAGGGGCAGGGGCTGCAGGGCAGGACGGACAGCAGAGGCCCAGCAGCAGGCAGGAGGTTCCAGAGACTCCAGGAGCTACGTCATGAAAGTTAGGAAGGACCTGTTAGACACTGGTCCTCCAGAAGCATGCTAGGAACAGTCACTGGAACAAACCAGCACAGTGCCCTGCCTCAGGGCCAGAGGCCACCTGTATCAGAGCTGTCACCCTAGACATGAGTTGTCACTCTTACCATACGACACCAGGCAAGCAGGAAAACCCCATGACAGAATGGTCTAGCAGAGGGTCCAGGGTGCCCAGAGTTGGGTAGTGGCCTCAGGCCTGAGTTAGCAGGAGGCTAGAGGTTGCCTAGTAGGGCCTACTACCTGCCCAGTGTCTGGTGAGTGTCTGGAGCTAGGGATAGGAAGGAAGACAGGGCTAGAAACCACGGGACCTGCCTGAGCCCACCGGCTAGAAGCCTCGGCTAGGAGAGAGCCATCCCACCAGGCTGTGGGCACGTCCTGGACACAGGCTGCTTTGTGAGACCTGAGCTTGCCCAGTGCCCAGCAGCCTTCAGAACAAAGGCCTTCTGTCTGCACTGCAGCTTCCCCTCCTCTTCTGCCCGGCAGAGCCCCCAGGGCTCCCATCCAGCTCCCCACACACACAGCAGGCACATCCATGGCCCAGCATAGGAGGAGGCTCTGCTGCAGGAGGTGCACAGCTAGAGTCGGAGAGAGAGCCGTCCCACTCGGGAGAGATCCGATGCTTCCTGCACTGTGGAGCACGCGTGACCCCAGCACGGTGCCAACCATGCACACGGTGCCAACCATGCACCATGTACATCCCAGTCTCGGACGAGGAGGAAGTTAAAGGGCAGTGGCAGAGGGCAACAACCTGGTGTCCCCAGAGACAACTCTACTCTATCCCCTCCAAACGTCTCAGGAGGACCAGCTCATGGTGACTCCAAAACTGTAGGCAACAGGGCTCTGGCCCTGGAAAGAATACATGGCCTGGACCTCTGCTCCCATGCCAGCCCCAGTCTGCCCCTCTGAGACCCTACAAAGGCCTCTACACAGATGGGCACATCTTGGGGCCTTCAGTGTCCAGGAACCATAATCCAAATCAGGTCAGGCAGAGCACCAGCCAGCCTGGCCAGCTCCTGCTGACATTGGCTCTGTAGCTGGTGCAATGCCTTTTTCAGCCCGGCCTCCTGGGTGCTCAGGGTCCTGATCATCTCAGCTGCCTGTAGGCCTTGAGGTCCTGGTGACTCATCCTTTCTTCTCACCAGCCGATGGGGTCTCTGGGGCTGGGTAGGGTCACTGGATGGCTCCCAGGATCCCTGCAGGGCAACCAACTCCTGTCTGACAGCCTCCTGCAAGGCCCTCCTTGTGGTGCTCCACTCTGGCCCCTGACCTAGGCCTCTAACCTGCATGAGAGAAGATACACAGGCTCCTGAGCCAAGGGCAGCAGGAGAACGGGTCCAGGTGCACACAAAAGCCCTGCAGCTCCAGAGCTCCAAGGCAAGGCATTAGTCCATGCATCATCTCACCATACAAAGCCAGGCCACCCCAGGACCCGTACAAAAGGCCTGGCTAGCCCAAAAATCTTTTACCCTCACAAAGCACCTGAAGCCCATGCCAGTAGCAGCTGGGACACAGGGACCCAAAACTCAGAGAATCAAGATCCCTAACCTTAACCTCCAGGGCTCCTCACTCAGGACAGCTGGCTGTAGGACCGCCGGGCAGTTTCTAGCCTACCATGTCCCTTAAGGGTCTTCAGAACGCCAAGGAAGACTCCAGAGGGCACCTGCTATTCCAGGATACAGGGCAGCATCCCCAACACTCTGTTTCACCTTCACCTTCCTACTGCTGCCTAGGAGTGGAATACATGAGTGGGACTGACCTAGGGGGCATAGGGTACTACCTCTAACCCTTAGGGCAATCCCTAGCCAAAGGCCCAGTGGGCAGCAGGCCTGCCACTAACCCACTCCAAAAACCCCAGAGTCACCTTGAGTCCTGGATGGGCTCTGCCCTCACAGTTTTATATATATATATGTGTGTGTGTGTGTGTGTGTGTGTGTGTGTGTGTGTGTGTGTGTGTATTTCAGGATAAAATCTACTACTCCGGGGGTATTAGCTGCTATGAGAAAGAGGAGTCCCCTGGCTCAACCACAGGTCTGCAGCACACCAGCCTGACTAAGGTGGATAGTATGGAGGAAAAACAGTGGTTGCTCCCGATCTTCAAGGAGACTATGGAAGAGCATAAGGGGAGCCTGCCTGCAGCTGACATTAGAATGCGTCCCAAAAGGAGAACTGATGGATATAGCAGTGAGTGGAATATGCCTATGCCACCAGGAAGTGCTGGGGAGGGCTGCTGGACAGGGGCAGAGTGGCAGACCAACAGGCAATGTGCATGGAATGGGAGTACCAGGGCAGGCAATTTTGCACAGGCTGCCTACCTCTCTGTGGGAGTCCCTGGAGAAAATCTCAAGGTGACAGTGAAGGATAGCGGGGTCTCTTCCTTGCAACCCCTGCTTTTGGAATTTGCTGTCCAAGTGCATCACCATCAAATTTAATCCAAATAAGAAGGGTAATTCATCCAGAGACTTTGTCGAATGGTTAACCAAGCCCTCCCGCTAAAAGAGCCAGTCCAGACAGAAAAAAAGAGGCAGAGCTGGAGTGTAGGTTGGGAAGAGTGGGCAAAGTAGCTGCCTAGGAGCTCACCTGGGCTTCCCATGCCGCCCTCCGGGGCTCAGCCACTTCCCGGAGCTCCTCCTGCAGGGCCTGCAACTCTTGTTTTACCAACTCCAGCTCACCACACCCATGTTCAGAAACCATGGGCAGAACTGTGGGCTGTGAGGTCACAGCAGGACTCTCTGACAAGCAGGCATCCAGAACTGTATCCTGCAGAGAACCCAGTGAGACAGTCAGAGACAAGCACAGGTATCAAGAGGGGACAGAAGATGCACAGGTTAATGGGGCAGAGCATTCCCAGATCCTACTGCAGACAGGGCAGCTTCTGACTCCCTGGCTACTTCTCCAGCATTCAGGGAAGCACAAAAACCAGACCTCTGGGAGAACCAGAGGTAAGGACCGGCAATATGAGGCTTCCACTGAGTACAGCCGATATCCTGAGCAGAAGCATCCCTTAGAGCCCTCGTCTCCGTCTTTAAGGAGGGATCATCTTCCAAACTCTACTATCAATGAGCCTGGGACTCCTGGCCAGGGCCAGGAAGGGTTGGGACAGCAGGGAAGACGTCCTCACCATCCACTGCCAGAAGACCAGCTCACACTGCCGCCACTCCAGAGCCGCCCCCAGGCGTACGTTCTCACTCTCCAGCGCCTGCAGAAGCTAGAGAAAAAGACACAGACTGCTGGGCCAGACTGCTCCCTGACCATCTCCTGAGCCCAGCTCTAGTCCAGGGGCCTTTGACCAGAGTGCTCTGCCCAATATTCCACCGACTAGAGGCTGTCCCAAAGGCTGCCTAGATGGGAAGACCTAAGACTGGGGAGCCTGCTGGGCCATGTAACTTTGGGAACCCCCAAGGTAAGGAAGAGTTGATAGGTGATGGGGATTTGTGCATAGGGCAGGGGCATGGGACAGAGTTGAGACATGCATAAGAGGGAAGGGCAGGGTCAGGTCAGAAGATAACCACTGCCCACCCTCAGCAGAGCAAAGCCTGCTAGTCCTGCGCTAACAGCTGTGCCTCAGAGACAGACAGAGTAAGCCCCACGCTCAGCCCTCTCCTTCCTGAGGAACATCCACTGACTGGCTAAAGTCAGAAGCCACTACTCCTTGTCTCCCTCCCTTCTAAGCACAGATCATCCAACACACCTAGAAGACAAGATGCTTGGTAATCTGTAAATGAAGGGTGCCGCTGGGTGCCCCTGCAGGTGCCACATCTAGTCAGAGACTCAACCTACACAGAACGAAAGCGCTCCCACCCTTGACACCTTTATGGGGGCCCAGAGAGAAGACAGAAGACAGCGCGTGTCAAACCCTCTGAACCTAAGACCCCCACTCCTGGCTCCACAGAGAATGCAGGGTCTATGGCCTAAGAAACTGGGGAAATCTTGAATGCTAGCCAAGGCCAGTCTACTGGGGCCAGCACAACAGATAAGGGACTAGAGCCACCACTCGGTCATAGAAAGAGGTAGAAGAGTGGTAAGAGATGTAAGGAGCCCGATCAGGGTGAGGGGACACAGAGGGTGGTCCCCAGCCCTCCACCCAGCACCAAAGAGCAAAGACCCCTAAACACACCATCAGAAAGGCAGGTAAGACAGACCCCAAGAACAGTCCCCAGGAGGCCTGTGGGGTGTGGGCATGACGGAGGAACAAATAAGCCCCTTCACCTTCCCATGGCTCACCCTCAATTCTGTATTCTGATGCAGCCCTCTCTCTGAACCTCCTCCCCAGCAGGAACAAGGACAGAGAGGGTACAAACAGAAGGCCCTGGATCCCACAGCAACCAAGGGAACCAACTAGCGATGCACCAACATGCCTGGCTGCTAATACACCAGGCATAGCTCATTCCAGAAACTTCTGGGACCTGTCTGCAGGTAGGTCAGATCCAGGTTTTGGTCAGCACCACAACAAACACATGGAAAGAAGCTGGTCTGGGGCCTTGGTCCACCTAACCACTGCTGTCCTGTTGGCGGAGACTGCTTGCTTGTTTCCCAGCTGCCCAGATCCAAAATAATCACACAGAAACTGTATTATGACCACACTGCTTGGCCTATCAGCTCATGCTTCTTTTTTTGTTTGTTTTGTTTTGTTTTTCGGAGACAGGGTTTCTCTGTAGCTTTGGAGCCCGTTCTGGAACTAGCTCTTGTAGACCAGGCTGGCCTCGAACTCACAGAGATCCGCCTGCCTCTGCCTCCGAAGTGCTGGGATTAAAGGTGTGCGCCACCACCATCCGGCTAGCTCACATTTCTTACTGGTCAGCTCTTATATCTTTTTTTTAAAAAATATTTATTTATTTACTTATTATGTATACAATATTCTGTCTGCAGACCAGAAGAGGGCACCAGACCCCACCACAGATGGTTGTGAGCCACCATGTGGTTGCCAGGAATTGAACTTAGGACCTTTGGAAGAGCAGACAATGCTCTTAACCGCTGAGCCATCTCTTCAGCCCCCAGCTCTTATATCTTAACCCATCCCTATTATTTCATATATTACAAGGGTCATAGTTTACCGGCAAAGTGCTTCTGTCTCCTGGGGGTGTGGGGAGCTGAGCTACATGGCTTCTCTTTGACTCTGCCTACTCTCTCTCTTATCTTTTCCAGCCTGGTTATATTCTATTAAGTCATTGGCCAAAAGCAGTTTCTTTATTAAGCAATAGCAATAAAACATACTCACAGCATACAGGGGGGAATCCCACACCACTGTCCAGTCCTGTATCATCAGCACAGGCCAGCTTCTGAGACAAGAGGTGCCTTATCTCCTCTATCCCACCACTAGAGTGACCCTATAGCAAAACCCCAGGCAGTGCTAGACTGAGCTTTGCCGAGCCACATTTGAAAGGGGGGTCAGATCCAAAGCAGCAGACCCTCCATGACTCAGAATAGCAACACGATATCCAACAGGAACCCCAGTGAGAGTCCATTATTAATGGTGTAGCAGAAACCAGAGGCCTCAAGCCAGACCAATGAGTCATAGCAACGACCACTTGCAAGTAAAGAGGAATGAACTAAAGGGGGTAAACTGTGACTCAATACACCATGCAGCCCGCCCCCCAGACAGATGCGCCTTAACCCTGCCGGTAAATCATGAGCCTTATGGTAAAATAGAAAATAATAGGAATGGTTAATTTAAGATATAAGAGCTGGCCAATAAGAATTGCAAGCTAATAGGCCAAGCAGTGTTGTAATAATACAACTTCCATGACAAGATTCTTCTCTCCTTCTTCTCCTTCTTTTCTTCTTCTTCTTTTTGTTTTGTTTGGTTTTTGGCTTGTCTTTTAAATTTGGTTCTGATTTGGGGGGAGGGCGCAAGGGTAGAGGGCAGATTCAAGGAGCCAGGGAAATAGGTGGGATCAGAATGCATGATATAAAAACCACAAAGATCAATAAAAGTAAAACAATAAATAAATAAAAGGGGGTCAGAGCCGGGGTAGATAAGGATCCTCAAATGTTGTCTCAGCACCTCAAGGCCAAGCACTGGCCCTAACAGGCTGGGCCCAGTCCAGGATCTATCCAGGGATACAGGTCCAGCTGACACCAACAGCCAGACACCTTACCAAGTGAGCACCTTTGGTTCACAGCAAGGCCTAACAGATCACCCAGAGCACAGAAGCCCAGAAGTGGAATCTGTCAACTAGCCTTGTAGTATGAGCCCAGGAAGATGACAGAAGGCAGGGTTCTAGCCATCCGTCCCTCAGCCCAGGAGCCTTAGGTAAGGTGGAGAAGTTCAATCTTGGGCTAGAAAAGAGGCAGAGAAGGGAGCTGGACCTGGAAGAAGGGGTCACCCAGCCCAAGTTCCAGCTCGGCTGCAATACATGCCCAGTGCCAACAGCCAGCCAACCACTCAGGAGGTCTACAGTGGTGACCGATGCTGGACCTTTCCCGTGAACCTCAGAGATAAGCTGACCAAAAGGAAGAAGCAGTGATGATGGAGAAGGCCCTAGAAAGGCAAGCAGGAAGGTCAGCACAAAGCAGGGGAGTGGAAAGAACTGGATCTCCTGGGAGAAGCTGGGGATGGGGCCAGCACTGACACTCTTCCCAGCCTCAGACAGAAGGCAATGTTAGCACTGCATCTCATGGCCTGCTTCCCTCCAGGTCTGTGCTAAGATTTAGATCTATTTGGGACCATCAGGAGGGGCCCATTGCCCAGGGCAGCCATGGCTGGGAAGAATCAAATGGACCCTGGGCAACAAAACAGGACTGAGGCCTACAAATATCAGTGCTTGTGCACAGATCTACCCCAGTAGACTTCCCCAAAGACCCTTAGAGTGTAGGCTCTGAAGAGCAGCTCTCCCCACTCACACTCGGCCTTTAAACACCTCCAGATACATCAGTCAGGTAGAGCTAGCTGCCCATTTCAGACCGAGATCAGTGTTCCTAAAAGCCAGCCGTCCCCTCCTGGACACCACATCCCTCCAACCCTGGCCTTGCCTGGCCAAATAACTGGCATACACAACACCTAGCCTTCCTTCCTGGACAGGTGTGCAATCAACGGGACAGGGAGAATCCTAAGGGACACACCGATCACCCACAATAGCAAATGACAGTGAGTTTGGCAAATACCCAGAGACACAGAAGTCAAAGACTAACACCAACCCAGGTATTTCCCAGTAGACCACACTCCATCACAGGCAGCAGTCACTCTGGCACCCTACCAACCCTCACCTGCTGACTGCTCTCTGGGTCCCTGAGCATCTCTGTTTCGGCAACAGAAAGATGGTCAAGGTTCTTCTGGCTATGACATCCACGGGTGTATAAGTGGATCTGCAACAAGTAAAGCACCCAGGCTAAGGAGCCACTCCCCAACAAGATCTCCTTTAGCTGGATACAGGCACCTTTGAGACCACTCATAGCCAGGAAGGACAAAGCTGGGCTCAGGGCAGCTCTGTAATGCTGGGGGTGGGGGCTGCAGAGGAGGGGCACTAGACAATTTCACTGAGGGCTTCCACACCTTGCTCACCAGGACGGAGGTAAGGCAGAGTCCTGCTCTACTTGTAAAGGTGAGACCTAACCTAAAGACCAGAGCTGGGGGAAGCCCAGCAGTCCAGCGAGCCAACTGTGATGAGAGAGATGGGGCACAGGGCAAATGGGCCCAGTGTGAGGAGCCATGGGGCTGAACTACCTTGCTGAGAAGGGTGCACTGCTCCTGCTGACTGGAGATCAGGCGTCGCCACCTAAACCGCAGCTTTCCCATCAGCCATTCCACTAGTCGGAGATCCATCGGACTCTCTGTTTCCACATGGGGTCCAAGAGGACCAGGGATGGCCAGGGCCTCATACTAGAGAGGGAACAAGAGTCAGCCCTGCTATAGACTCCATCTCGTGCTAAAGGAAGGACCAGGACGAGGAGGTGCAATACAAGCATAGGATCAGTCCGCTATAGTCTCAGCCAGGAAGCCGGATGAGCCTGGCTGAGGACCGCACCAAGGGTGGGTACCGTATGACATGGGACCACAGAGAAATCCAGGGTTTCTGGGCAAAGTTCGGCTCAGACACCCTCACTACATACTCACCTCACACTGGGGCAGCTGATCACCCAACTGCACACGGGTCTGGGCAAGCAGCTGCTCAAGGAAGGGTCCTCGAGCCAGAAGCCAAGACAGGGCCAGCAGCAGTTCCCGGCTTCTCTGAGAACTGCCCTCAGGAAACTGTACCAGTGCAGACCTGGGGTAGCCCTGGGAGTCCAGTGCTGACTTCACCACACGGGCTTGGGCCTCTGGAGTAGGAAATCACCAGCTTAGGGGGTGCCAACCTGGAGGTGTCACCTGGGTCCTTCCGGGAAACTGGGAGCAACCCTAAGCTGAGAACCAGCTGAGTGGACCAAGGAGGCCCAGGGGGAAGGATTTCTGTGAATGGCTGGCTCAGGCTAGTCAGTTTCAGAGCCACTGCTAGTCAGGTGAGCGAGGAAAAAGGTAGTAGAAATCGAGGCTTAAGGAAGTGGGCGGGGCAGTGCTGGCAGAGAGAGGGGAAGGGACAGGTGTCTGCAGAAAGGGGGCGTTGAAGTTGAATACAGAAGGGTAGACAAAAGAGGAGCTTTAAAGGCGCGGGACTTACCGAGCTGGGCCGAGCGAGGTCGACCGAGTTGGGGGGACTGGGGAGTGGAAACAAGGGTCCTGGGGCATGGCTTTCTGAGAGGGCAGGGTTTACCTGGAGCAAGGTCGGTCAAGGTATCGTTAGCAATACCAAGCGGTGAGAGCACGCGTAAGAGAAGCTGCCAGAGCACTGGAGCCTGCAGGGAAGGAGTTTGTAGATAGCGAGTGTCAAGGTCTCACCACCGTCGACAACGCCTTCCCCGACCCCGGCCGCCTACCCTGATAGCCTCACCGCCTCTGGACGGTCAAACTTCGCGCGGCGGAAGATTTCAGGGCTGGGTCCAGCGGGCAGGGACCGACTCAACGCAGCGATAGCCTCAGGGAGGGCCCTGGCCGCCCCTTCCACCCGGTGCCTCCGCCGCCCCATGCAGCCAGCACCGGGCAGCCTCGGATCGCCCGCCCGAGCAAGCCGCACCCAGCGACCAATCACTGCTCGGGCTGGGACCCGCCCTCTACATCCAGGCCCAATGAGCAGAGACCGGCGTTTGAATGCCTACCAGTCTGTCCCGTAAGCAGGCACTTCCGGGGTCTGGGTGGGGCCGTGGGTTTGCCAGCTCCGCGGACTTTGGAACTCACCAATCAGCACCTCTAGTTACCAACCTCCCAGGCGGCTCCCGCGCAGGTAGCGCGGGGCGGGAGGGCGCGCATGCGCCCTAGTGTCCCCTGGAGGCGCGGGGAAAGAAGTACGGCTCCACCCAAACACGCTGGGAGTGTCTCTGCGGAGCCTCCCAGGAGCTCGCCACCAGGGGGCGCCAGGGACCCGCGAGGAGAAGCCGAGCCCGGCAAACCGGGCGGGGAGTTCCGGGGGCCACGTCGCCAGGAGTCTCTTGAGAAAGCCATCCTCCCTCTCCTGTACAATCCCAGACCTCCTTGTCCCTATTTTCATCCTTCCTCCAGCCACTAGAAGACTAGTTTTTGAGGAAGATTCTCCACTTTAGAAAAGGGTGCGGCCATCTCCCTTAGTGTTGAACTTAGTTTCGCGCACTACAGTGTCAATCCTCGTAAGCCGTGAGAACCCTGCAAGGAAATATATAGAAGTACACAGCAGCTACATGACAATGGCAGAATGAACCCAGACTTCAACCTGATGAGCGGGTTAAGACGCCGCACCACAAGCAGACAGCAATTATGCTCAGCAATGGGCATGAGGCTGGTACGTGGCCACAGCCTTTACCAGAACATTCTCTGTGGGAAGCCGGGGACGAAAGACCACATCAAATGCTCCAGTGCGTGTGGAGGAGGGCCGGACAAAGGCCAGACGCTGCCTATAGGGATCCCGGGACAGTCTGCAGGCGACGGAGACCGGGCGAATTGTGTGGGCGGGGCCTGTACGCTTGAGCGGGCACAAGCTAAGCTTTGTGTGCTCGATATCACCAGAAATAGCTGGGACTGTGGACAGTACTGTGTGAGCTCTCCATCTCAATAAAGCCGGGAAAGAGGCAGGTGGAGAGGGAAAGGGTGCGATGCGAAAGAGGAAATTGAGTTGAGACGGAAGGGCAACGGACCCTAGGCACCTGCCACCTTAACCGCGGCTACAGGATGGCCACGCCCTCCGGAAGTGCGGGACTGTCGACCCACCTTCATCTTAACCTTCCCTGTGCTCCTGCTCCGCACTTTACCACCCCCTCCTCCGCCCCCGCTTATGACTACTTGCTGCCGACTTTCCTCTGCTCATCTGGATGCCTTGGGCCATTCTGCCTCGGGTGTGCTTCTTCCTGGGCCCTTGCCAAGCAGCTAGGGCTGCTGGTGCCAGACAGCCAAGCCCAGCTAGACCCTACTTGCTCCTACCGCCCTGGGTCTAAGGACCCTGCTTCTGCACACACTTGTGCATACCGTCACACTTCACAGCGCCCTGAAACCTTAAGCTCAAAGATCTTGGCTACTGTGCCAAGGAACTCCCGATACACCTTTAAGGAGCCCTTTGTCTCTCGAGGCCTCTTTGCAATACTATGCTCTTGCCCCACCTGACCTGCTCGTTCCTACAGGCCTCAGGTTGCTGGGAATTCACTCCAAGTCTGCCCGCATTGGGAGACATGGAACTGGGTGCAGGGGGCTGGGATTATGAGGAAGGCAGGGTCCTCGGGGGTGGGAGAAAACAGGGGAAACGGAGCTTCTGCCCTTCACACATGCCTTTTCCAGGTCCTCTGCAGATGTTGGACACCCAAAACCTGGAGGTCTGTCCCAACGCCCATACCCCTCCCAGCTGGAAACTCTTAAGATTTCAGGTTTTGGGGGGGGGGGCATAGTGGCCCACGCCAGCACTCGGGAGGCTCGGGAGGCAGAGGCAGGCAGACAGATCTCAAGACCAACACCTGGTCTACAGAGGGAGTTCCAGGACTGGCTCCATAGCTACTGAGAAACCCTGTCTCAAAAAAAAAAAAAAAAAAAAAAAAAAAAAAAAAAAAAAAAAAAAAAAACAACTCAGGTCAGGTTGACCTATTCTGCTCATACTGTTGTAACCTAAAGCACTCTGACATCTACCCGTTGGGATTCCAGAATTACCCAGTAAAACACACACACACACACACACACACACACACACACACACACACACACGGCCATTTACAGGACTCACCAATAGCCTATCAGGCTCATTCCTGCAGTACAGGTGCCAAAGACTAAGGCCGGCAAAGCCCAGGGGCACTGCTGAGATCTTTGTGGCCTTGTTAAATCCAAAAGAGTCTTGAAAGGCCAGTGGCATGGGGGAAGGGGAAGCTGAGAGTTGCCGGGCTCTACATAAGTTTCCAGAAAACCCTTTCTACTGCCACAGAGCCAGCCCTCAAATCCCATTAGAGCACCGAGTCACCCGGAGCGTTCCTGGGCAGGGGGGAAGGGCAGATGGGGATGTGGTATCTGTTGAGCAGCTGCAGAACATCCACAAGGGCGCACTTCTGGGGACAGGGTGGGGTTGCAGGAAGTGGAAATGGAATAGGCAAGAAGTCTGCACAACTCCCACGAAAGAATCTCAGAAAGGGAACCATATCAGCTCCCACTGATTCACCCTCTGAACTGTGGCCAGCCCCACCCACTCCCAGGCTCCATGTTCCTACTGACCCTGTTGGCCAGGGCCTCACCCCCAGGCCAGAACCACTAAGGAACTTTATGGATTCTGAAATCCTGCCCCGAAGTGGCACTCCCCCAGAGGGCAGCAATGTCTACAGCAGCAGGAAAAATCAGTGTCCTGCATTAGGCCTGGAGCTGAGGCTCCCCCAGCTCCACTCCAACACACACTGGTAGACAAACACACGGATCTTCCAAAAGATCAGGTTTATTAAGGGCATGAAGGACTCCTGAGAGCCCCTGCTGTCCAAGGTTAAGGCCTGGCATGTGCCTGGGCGGGTAGGGAGGGTTTCCACAACCTGTAAGGAGAGACAGAGACAAATGTGAGTGCATATCGAAGTTTCGTTACTTACTCCACCAGGGTTGATCTCATCCTGTAGACAGGCGGACTGGGTGGGATTGGAGATGGGGCTGTACCTGGATCTACTTGAAAGTGTGGCTCTCGGCTCCACCTCGCCCAAAGCCTGAAAACAAAACAAAAAAACAGAAAAGGAGATCAATAGGTTGGGGAAGGGGGTCAGTTGAGGTGAGAGGTCTGTTAGGGAAGAGGACCAGCAACATACCTTTGGGCCCAAACATGGCTGAGTAGCAGGGATGGTTGCAGTAGGGCTTGCCTTCATGCTATAAGGAGAAGAACATGAGGGGTGTTTTCATCCCAGCTCCCACTGCCCCCCTCGTTCCTCCCTCTGCCCCCTAGCAGCCCCTTACCTCGGCATGGCTCCCAGAAGTCAGTGTCTTTCCACATTTCTCACACTTTAGGCAGGGGCGATGCCAGTCCTTGCCCAGTGATGTCACTCGCTCAGCTGCAAAAGCACAAACCCACTGAGACACTGGGGTCCCTGCATATCCCTTCGGCTGCACATACACATATGCTTCGTTCCCTTAATGTGGTAGCCACCCTGGATCCTCAGACTGCCCTGCGCTCCATAGAGGGGCACCTCCTATGGCACAAGCCAGAAGGGTCCTCCTACAGGAGGGATATTTTCTTTTCCTCTCTCTATCTCTCTCTGTCTTTCTCTCTCTCTGTCAGGTATTTTGAGACAGGGTTTCTCTGTGTAACATCCCAGGCTGTCCTGGAACTTGCTTTGTAGACCAGGTTAATCTTGAATTTACATAGATCTTCCTGCCTCTGCCTCCCAAATGCTGGGACCAAAGGTGTGGGCCACACCATCTCAGTTCATTGGTGGGACATTTTCAAGCGCTACCACAGGGATGTGACCCCCTGAGGGCTTGTAGGGCTGGAGTGGAGCCCTACAGACTTGAGGGACAGGGCGGGGTGGATTTGGGGAGCAGGTCTAGAGAGTCTAAGGCTAGGTGAATGGGTTAAGTCCTCTGACCTCCGAGCTGGTGGCTGGATAAATGAACCTGGGTGAGCCCTTCTCTACAACAGGGACGAGGGGACTTGACTTAAACACCATCTTGTGGGAGCCCTAGGGCGCGCGAAAAGCAAGAAAACCAGCACCCCAGAGACTGCACTCCCGGACGTGGTTTTCCGTGTCTGTTTCTACTTAGTGTTGGGAGGGGCCGCCCCAGTCCCGCGTTCCTTCCTTTCCCGCGGGGACCCCGCCCAGGACACGCAGAGAGAAGGCGGGAGAGACAGACCAGCCGGATCCAGAGGCGAGGATCACACATACAGAGAAGGGGAGACCCAAAATCATGGGAGTCATGGAGACCTGGAGACCCAGAGGCAAGGAGGCTAGAAAACCGACCCAAAAGCTTAAGACAAGTGGGCATAGATAGCGGTTCCGTTTGATACCAAGTTATACCACCCTCACGCCGCAGGCAAGGTTCATGGGTTCGATCCAAGACAATCCCCCCGAACTCTAGTCACGGCCGCCCACCTGCACAACCCCAGAACTATCCGCCTCCAGGCTACGCTTCCGCGTACCGCCTGCCGTGCGCCCACGGGCATGTAGAGAAAGGCTGGGACACCCAAGCATGCTCACCGAAATACACCTCCTTGTCGCACTTGGGACACTTCGGCATGGCGGAGCTCAGTCCTACACAAGTGGCTGCAACTAGAAGGAAGTAGGTAGTAAGCTCTAGACTGGGTGGCGTCCGCCTGGTCCGCGCTTTTCAGGGACCCCACGGCCCTGCCCTTTAAGGTCCCGCCCCCGCCCCGCCCCGCCCCCTGAGTCCGGAACTTGGACCCCTGGGATCTCTGATCCTAGCCAACCGGCCAAGAATGGTCATCTGGTCCATGCTCGCCTCTGGCAGGACAAACTGGCCAAGTGTCATGCAGGGGCGCTGACTCTTCTGGAGACCCTCTGAGGAGCCAGGCAGCTCCCGCGGGACTAGGCCCCGCCCCCTGCCTGGGGCAGGGCGAGTGTGCTGTGCTGAGCCGGGAACCGTAGGTCCTTCCCTCAAATGATGAAGCGCCCTATCAGGGCCACCTTGAGCCTTGCACCTGCAAGAGCTTGCAGGAGCCACGGTGGGCACAGGAAACTTCTCAAGTTCAGATAAAGCCTGGTGTGGTGCGATTGTCCTTTCCTACTGGAATTGGTGAGACCAATCTGGTCTCTAGGGTGAGACCCTGTTTTAAAACACACACACACACAAAATAAACAAATAAATAAATAAAAGTAAAATAAAATGCAAATAGATGCAAATTATCATCCAAGGGTTTTTTACCTATTTTGACCCTGCCTTCTCCCAGAAAGAAAGTTGTTGAGGATGTTGAGAGTGTCTCGGCCTTGTAGCCCAGCCCCTCCCAGCCTTTCCCAGATCTAACCCACGCAGACACCAGAAGGTCCGCCTGGTTATAGGCAAGTAAACAGCTTGACCTTTGCCAGGCGACTGGGCTGCGGCCACAATTTCACCAAGGGAATTCAGAAGAGGGGACTCTCATCCAGGAAAGCCTTCCTGCCACAGGGACAACAGAATCTAAACTTGAGGACCCACGAACTAGAGGTCAGGTCAAGACAAGGAATGCAGGCGAGGCCACACCCAGGTCGCTTCCCTGATCCTTGGAGGTACAATCAAAGAAGGTTTGGTCCTTTCTTATCTCAGGGAGAAGTTGCCGAGCTCAGCAATCCAAGTCCACCGCCCAACTAAGGAGGCTATTGAGCCGTGACTGGTACCAGGTAGAGACTTGCAGACCGACGTGCTCACCACATGCAGGCCTTCACCAGCATTGGGGCTCTGACCATTGCCTAACTCTCTGATGCTGTGATTGCTGTTAGCTGGGCATTCAGCTCCCACCCTTCATCTCCCTGCTCTGCGGAACTTCCTACCTGTCCCCAGCACACGGACCTCCTTACACACACTGTTACCAGAGTCCTCTACCCTTGACACACTCCTCTCAAAACAAGACCTCATCTCAGGGCCAGTCCAGGTCCATCCTTGGCAATGCCAGGGACCCTGTGTCTTGGGCTCAGCCCTGACGGAGTCCGTCTTCAGTTCTGGTCCTGTGCCAGGGATCTGGGGTACGTCATCTCACTAGCTGGAGTGGGGGTCAGAGCTCTCAGCTGTGGGATCACTGTGTGGTACCATGTGTCTAACACAGAGGCCACACTTCAGGGACTACCCACAGACTCAAACTCCCCTCCCCCAGAACACTCTACCCTCCTCCCAGGGACCCTAACTTGAGGGCACACTTTTGCCCCAAACTGGTGCTCCACAAATGCCCAGGTCCACAAAGGCGTTCTGAAGCTCTTTACTACCAGGCTCTGGGGATTCTAAAGCAGAGATACACACAGTCCCTCCAGGGTAGATTCCTATTCCCTAGCCTACCGTTACTTAAGACCCACCGAGAGGGCTAGGTTGGCACTCCTGAGTAGTTTCTGGACTCATGGTCACCAGTCCAACCCTCCCCTAGTCATTTTTTTTAATTATTTATTTATTATGTGAGGGCACCAGACCCCATTACAGATGGTTGTGAGCCACCATATGGTTGCTGGGAATTGAACTCAGGACCTTTGGAAGAGCAGGCAATGCTCTTAGCCTCTGAGCCATCTCTCCAGTTCCCCCCCTCCCCCAGTCATTTCTTGTAACCCTTCAGTCCTTCTGTTGAAAATGAGGTCCAAACTGCTTTAGCCCCGGGCCTAGTCTACAGAGGAGAGAGGAGGGGATGGTGTGGGAGTGTGCAGCTGCTCTGGGAAGGGAGAGCTGAGCAAATCCTTGGTAAAACAGAGAGGCCAGGGGA